TGGAGCTGAGCTGGGTGGGCACAAAGGTTCACATCTCAGCCCTGGGTTAGGAACGGCAGTTCAGGGTTCAAAAGTTTATGGCTCACTCGAGAGCGTTGCAAGCACGGGTTATCCTGGAGTTTCCAGCCTTCTCCAAAGCCTCTCCTATCATGATTTATTCATCTGTGGGAAGAGCTAAGACATAACTCAGCTCCCAAAGGGAGCTGGAGCGCAGCCTCCTGCAGCTGCAGCGTCAGGAAAGCGCCTGTCTCCTGTGAGATCTGCCSAGCTCCTGCACTCCAAATCCCACAGCTTCCCCAAATCCCACTGCCCCAAAGATTCCACATCCCAGAGAAACTCCTGAGCCTGCTCTGGTCATACCCAGAGCAGTCCCAGGGATGGAAAGGCCTCTCTGTGTGCCTGGCTACTTCCGAGGCACACACATCCCATCCTTGTTTGTTGGAATTCTCCGATTCTGGACCTAAAGGGCAAAATTAAGAGCTTGAATCTCCACAGGAACGCATTTTGGGATAATTTACACCTTCCCCATGCACCCCAGCAGCATGTTTTGCCCTGCTTTARACGCACATTAACCCAGATTTGATTATTTTGGCATTATTGCTGTTTTACTGCTCTCACTGTTACTTGCCCACCGACGCCGACCGGTGACTCCTTTGATCCCCAGACATCCTGCCAACAGAAAATTCACGCCAGCAAATCAGAAAATTCACTCCAGCCAACAGAAAATTCACTCTAGCAAATCAGAAAATTCACTCCAGCCAACAGAAAAAATTCACTCCAGCAAATCAGTTTAAATTAGCAGTGGCTTTGTGTGGCTTGATTTGCCTCCCTCCAGACCTGCAAATAATGATGGGAAGGCTGATTGCTCTCCTGCTGGATCCCTGGCAGCTGGGAAAGTGGGAAAATGAGCTCTGGGTTATCCTGTGCCACCATCTGAATGATGGGAAGGAAGGAGGCAGCATCCAGGTCAAGCTTTTGGCCAGGTTGGACGGGGCTTAGAGCAGCCTGGGATAGTGGAAAGTGTCCCTGTGCACAGCAGAGGGTGGAATTGGATGGGATTTAAGGTCCTTTCCAACTCAAACCAGTCTGGGATTCTGTGGATGCTTCATCCCATTCATCCAATTCTCTGCATTTCTCTAAGAGCCCTGCATGGGCTCTCATTTCCCATTGGGATTGGAAGGAATCCCCTGATTGGAAGACCCCAAAATAATTATTTGAGTGAAAATGAGCTGATTTGAGCAATCTCCACTTTAAAAAAAAATCCTCAAATTGTTAAAATTCAAAAATTCCATTTGAAGAAAACCAAGCTGTTAGAGCCCCAAATCGCTGTCTATGAAGAAGAAAAAGCCTCCAGGTTCTAAAATTCCCTTTTTCAAAACAAATGGACAAAACCCAAAACAGCCAGTCAATCCCTAAATCCCTATTTGAAGAAAACCTAGCTATAAGACCCCCAAATCCCTCCTTAGCCAAAATAAGTTACCTGACCCCAAAAATCTCCATTTGAGAAAAAAAAACAAACCATCAGACCTCAAAATTCCCTTTTTGAAAAAATCCCTAAACCTCATCTGTCAGATCCCAAAATCCCTGTTGGAGCAAATTGAATCTCAAATTTCTCGTTTGAGCAAAACCAAGTTTTGTGAGCCTGGAATTCCCTATTTGAAAAAATGATATCATTATTGTTGTTATTATTATTATTATTAATAATAATAAAAATAATAATAATAATAATAATAATAATAATAATAATAATAATAATAATAATAATAATAATAATAATAATAATAAATAGAAAACAGCAGTCAGAACCCAAAATTCCAATTAAACAAAACAAGCTGTCAGACCCTCAAAACTTTCTCTGTGCAAAACCAAGCTGTCAGAGCCTAAAATTGTAATTTGAAGAAAAACAAGCAGTCCAACCCCAAATTCCCTGTTTGAGCAAAAATAAACTCCTGAACCCCAAATCCCTATTTGAACAAAAMCAAGTTTCAGATCCCCAAATCCCTATTTGAACAAAACCAAGCCATCAGAGCCCAAAATCCMCATTTAAAAAAAWTTTAAAAAGCGAACTCCCAAACCTYATTTCAGGAAAACCAAGAGTCTGMCTCCAAAGTTCCCGTTTAAGCTAAAACCAAACCAAACCGTTTAAGCTAAAATCAGCCCCAAAATCGCTGCCGGTGTTTGATTTAACAAAGAGTTAAGCTCCTGCGGGCGCCGTGGCCAATCCCACCGAGCCAAGGGCAGCCCTTGGCCGCAGCCCAGCAGCAGGTTGCACTCCGCAGGTATTATTTTGGACTTTTTCCCGGGATACCAAGCAGGTGAAACAATGAATTCCGCGCTCGGCGGAGGATGGGGAGCGGCAGGACGCACCCCTGGGCTGCGCAGGTAAATCCCGGTGGGTGCCGGCTTTTTTGCGGGATTTTTTCCTCTCCTTCCCCCTCTGGGTGTCTTTGTTTGGGGCCGGGCAGGGGARCGGAGTGTTTTCGGTGAATTAACGCAGGGCTGAGCTGGCGGAACTCTTTTCGGGTGATTTTTTTTTTTTTTTGGGGGGGGGACACGGGGCTGCGTTCGCCGCAGAGATGGGGTGCGCGGATCTGGGTGGGCAAAGCCGCGATTTCCCCCTCCATAAACTCCCCCTGAATCCAGCTGGAACCCCACAGCACTGATACCATGCACCCCAGCGGATTTTGGGGCACCGCTCCGCTTTAGTAGCGCTAATTCCGGCATTGGGGACAAGGCACTGTCGCGACATGCCACCATAGGGACTCTCTCCAAGCGTGGTGTCCGGGGAGGAGCGAGCAATTCCCGGGCTGGCTCCGCGCCCAAGAAACTCCTCGGGGCGAGTTAATGATAAATCAGTGCCGGGCTGGTGGCGGGGGGAGCCCCTGGAGGGTCCCCTCTTGTCCTTCCTGCGGGGACAGAGATTTGGGGACGGCAGAGCTCGTGGGGACGGCTTTTGGGACCGCTCTGGGGGTGATGGCTCATCCTAAAGGGTGGGATCAGGTGCAGGGGTTTAAATGGTGCAGGGGGGGGATCTGGTGACAAAGAGAGGGGGTTTTCCTGGCATTTTGGACTGAGGAGTGGGGCTGGAGCTGGGATTCACCAGGATCCCTGAGATCTGGGATGTGGGGATGTGCAAGGATGCTCCAGGGGTGACCACCCCTTGTGCTGGGGACACCACGGGCTCAGCTGGCAGCACTTTGTCTCCAGCCACCATCCCTAAAGGGATGAGTGCAGGGCTCACCCTTTCCAGGTGCTTTTTGGGCTGTGTTCACTCCAGGGGGCCAGAGCAGAAATGGGGTGAATGGAGATGGATGGTTCAGGGTGGGGAAAGCTCACCCTGGATCCTGCTGGCAGCCCCTTAACAAGGGGAAACTGAGGCACGCAGGGCTGGGATGACCCCAAGCAGCCCAGACCCTCTGAGGCTGCTCCATCCAACTGCCCTTTTTGAGGGAATTCAGGGAATTCTCTGCTTTCCTGGGCAGAGGCTGCCATCGGGACCTCACTGGGGACAGTGACACAGCTGGCCCTGAGCATCTTCTGGGGGCAGTCCCGAGGGTCACAGGTGGAGGATGGACCCATGGGATTTGGGGTGGTGGTTTGGGTTGAGATTAAACCATCCTGGTGCTTCTGGCACTCTGGTCCTTGGGATGATGGGGACAGACACGGAATCCCATGGCCTCAGTTGCATCCTGGAGAATGCCAGCCTGGATCCAAACCCAGGGCTCTGAGARCAGATGGGGAAAAGGAAAAAAAAAAACCCCTAAGGATGAGGACTCTGACCAGGGGAACGCTGGTGGATAGCCCCGGTCTTGCTGGTGAAAAATCCCATGGCAGTTTAATTCCTGGTGGAAAGGATTCCAGAAGTTCCCCAGGTCATCCTGCTGCTGGTGGACCCTGCCTAGTCCACTCAGAACTCGAAAATCTCCAAGGATGGTGACCAAAAAGCCTCCCTGGGACTGTAAAATGCACCTTGTCACACCTCCACGTGTGCTGAGGTTTCTCCGGGGTTTTACCCACCTCGCTGCAGCCTCCARAATAATTCTGATTTCTTTCCTTCCTGGAACAGCTCAAGACTGGCACAACCTGCCAGGTGCTTGGTTTTTAATTCCACTCTGTCTGCTTTTTTGCATTGGGAAAATCACGTGGATTACAGYGGGAACACCCTGAGATGAGGATTTGGGGGGAGGTGGGCTTGGGACAGGTGGAGCAACTGATTCTGGATGAGCAATAGCCATGCCCAGATTGATTTATTGATAATTTTACTGTCAAAAAGGGGTTTCCAGGAAGCTGTGAGGGGTGTCCATTCCTGAAATACCCTCAGGGAGTGGAGAGGGAAGGAGGACAAGCAGCAGGGCACGGAGCCAAGGCCATGTGCTCCACAGGGCAGATTGTGGCTGTGCTTTGCCTCGATTCCCCCTTCTGCCACTTCCTGGGGGATGGGGACAGGGTGGCAGTGGACTGTGTCCTTTAAACACAGCCACCAGCCCAGGCAGGAAAACTGATAGCAGACTGGGAGGACTGGCCAGGGAAGGTGGAGCAGGCTGCACTGTTCAGGCTTTGTCGGGGAGAACAATGGGGCCTTTATTGGGGCAGGGAGGTGGCGGGGCTGGCAGGGACAGTTTGGTGCACAGAGAGTCCTTTGGCCAGCTGGGGGACAGGGCACTGGGGTGTGGGATGGGACAGTTTGGTGCCCAGTGTCCCCCCAGCCAGCTGTGGGGGCAGGGAAGTGGCATATGGGGTGGGACAGGTTGGTACACAGTGTCACTTGGGGGCTGGGGGAATGGGAAATGGGAAAAGGGAATGGGAAATGGGATGGGACAAGTTTGTAACCAGTGCATCCCTTGGCCAATTGGGGCCACAGGAAAAAGGGCTGGGACAGTCTGGTACCCATCACATCCTTTGGCCAGAAAGGGAAACAAGAAACAGGGATATGGGATATGGGATGGGACAGGTTGATTCCCAGAATGTCCCTTGAGTACAGCTGAAGGAAACTGGGACACAGGAGCTGGGACAAGGGATGGGCCAGTTTGGTACCAAACATCCTCTGCTGGTGGGATTTGTCCCCAGGCACCTGTGTGAGCCCCACAAACACTGATGTGACTCTCCTTGACCTTCGAGGGTCCCCATTTATGGCCACCCTCCCAAATCCTCTGGTATTGGGAATTGCAATGGGTGCTTCATAAAAGGTTCTGAGAGCCCTGGGGACCCCCACAGCCAAGAGGGAGGAGCACCCCATGCATGGGACACCCTAATTCCAGATTCTGCCACCAACTCCAGAGCAGAGGAGCTTTGGGGACAGAGGAATCTGTCACCCTATAGGCTGTCCCTTGGCAGCTCCATGAGAGCTTCCCCGAAGAGCCGCCTGGGTCTTTTCATCTCATCTCTTTTGTTTCAGCCTTATTATGTAAATAGCTGCTGCGGCCCCCATAATGAGAAAGTGGTTTCCCAGAATACAAAAGGCTGTAATTATCTCATTAGCAGGCGGAAAGGAAAAGGAAATGTTGCTAAGCCGGGCTTGCTTTTATTTCCCTGAAGAAGCCCCGAGGAAGYGCAGCCCCCAAAACCATGACCTGCCTGCCCCTAATCCTGCCATCCCATCCTGAAAATGCCACGTTTTCAGGAGAGAAAAGCAAAGGGTGATGCTCCTGTCTCAGAAATAAGTTCATACTGGGAGGGGTGATGGGTTTTAACTGGGCCCAGTCACCCAGAGGATGCCGCAGGTCTCTGTGCAGTCCCCCCTCCCCCTGGGGACAGGTGTAGTTGGAAAATGGGGGGATCACAGAGGGAAAGGATGGTCCCCAAATTCCCAAATTGGATGTTCCTGGGCAGAACTACCATGCTGGGTAGTCCAAGTTTAACCTCCCTGCTCCAGCAGGGCTCCCTGGAGCCCTTCACTCAGGATTGTGTCCAAAAGTAAATCCAATAATAAATCCTTCACACAGAAGGATGGAAAATGTGCAGATACACAGCAGCCCCACACGCCAAAAGGGGTCTGAGGGTGGCTACAAAATCTGCCACTCCTGACCCCCCAACCTGCCTTCCTGAGTTTGCTTTTTAGCTCTGAATGGGGGAAAAARGATCCACAGTGCAGGGATAAATGGGAAAAGAGAGGCTTGTGTCCTAGGGAAGGAGCAGGAGTTGTTCTTCTGACTTCATCTGGCTTTTGGTTGTGGAAAAAGCTTGTGGTTGGAAAGCYGGGGATTTTCATGTTTTTGCAGACAGGTTCAAGTGCGTTCGTGCCGTGTTTCAGTGGCGGAGGAAAATCTGGCAGCCACCGAGCCAGGATGGGGGGAAAGGAGCTGGAGGAGGGGCAGAAAAGAGCCACAAGAATTACTTGAGGGCTGGAAAAAATGCTTGTGAGAGACGGGAAAAGCTCATTCTGTTCCGTTCTTCAGACTGGAGGAGAACAGGAGGTGCCAGGTGGGAGGGGAGCTGTGCTGTCCCTGCCCCTTGAACCCATCCCAGTCAGGAGCTCTCAGCCAGGTTTGGGTCCAGCACGGCCCTAAGGAGGTGACACCTGATGGCCTGTGACATGCAGGAAGCACAGCAGTGCTGAGTGGCTTTTTTGGAGGATCTGATATGCAAGGAGAGGTGAGGGATGTGACTGAAACCTGCACCTGAAACTGAGAGGGTGAGAGGGAACAGCCTCTAAACAGGAGAAGTTTAAAGTGGATATTGGGAAAAATTCTTCATGGAAAGGGTGTCCAGCCCTGGCACAGCTGCCCAGGGCAGGGTGGAGTCCCATCCCTGGAGGGATTTAACACACCCTTAGGGGTGGCCTTGGCAGTGCTGGGGGAACGGTTGCACTCCATGGTCTTTGAGGGCTTTTCCAACCTCAATCATTTTGTRTTTCTGTGATTCTCCGAGGGTAATTTCAAGCGTTGGGTTTCAGTGGTGGCTTTTCCCCAGACCCTGTTAATGCCTCACTGGACAAAGGTGGTTTTTTTTCCCTACAGGATCTTCACTGCTGACCCATTTCTGTCCTTCCCTTCCCTCTCCACGTACCTTCCTGGAAGCAGCTGAAATGATCCCAGCCATTCTTTTTCCCACCCTTCCTTTCTAACCCATTCCACCACCCCAGGACGTGCTGCCTTTTCCTCCACCAGCTGAACCAACCCCTCAGCACCTCTGCCAACAAACAGAACCAACTTGAGCCCTAAAAACGGGGCAGGTGCATTCCTACCCCTACAAAAACAACAAAGCAGAGCACGGGATTCTTGTGTCACTAAGGGATTCTTGTGTCACTAATCGCTCTCTCRTTAAATCCGATGCAAACAAACCTGACCAATGAAGGTCAGGGGCACACCTGTTACCACACTTGGCAAGGAGGGCGATTTTTGACCTTCAGATGCCTTTKCATGCCTTGTGCCAAGGCTCTGCCTTGCTCTGGGGCTCTTTGCCAGATTTCTCCRTGCCCAGGAGCGATGATTGATTCCCTTCTCCCCGTGGCACTGAGCCGAGGTATGTCTGTCTCCCGAAGGCTTTTGTTGGGAGAGTGTTAACAATTAACCTCCCCAGGCAGAAACAGAGCCAGGCCTCCATAATTTAGTCCCAGTTAACCATTCAGCTGCTTATCTCAGAACAATTTTATTTCTGTTTAACTGGAAGGCGTTCACGGAATCGTTCATTGGATCGTTTGGGTAGAGCAAGTGTGAAGGCACGGTTGTTGTTTTACAAATTACTGTATTTACAATAACACCGAGGAGTGTCCACAGTGGGAAACCTTGATAAGAGGTGGACATGCAAAGTTTGCCCACCACAATTGGGAAAAGGACGTTTCACCCCAGATTTTGTGCATCAGGCATCAAAATGTTGTTGGCTCCGAGGCAGGAAAGACCAAGGGGCAGTTGGATGGGATGGGGAGAGGATACAATGTGGAATGTGTGGATTCCCAGTATTTTGGTCAGAGAAGGTCAAATTAAATAATGTTCTGATTAAATAAGGTGCTTTTCCTTGGCAAGGTGCTGGTACAGAGATGCCAACCAGGAAGGGACCTTGGGCAGACAAAAGGAAGCTTTTTAGCATTTATTAACACAGGAATGCTGGGAAGTTGGAATTCAGCTCAGTGTTTGTTCTGGAGAGGTTTTCTCCCTCGTGTCTGCAGAAAGTCCCTTCACTCAGGTTCCCACTGTAACTACTTTTGTCTCTCTGAGGTGSTGTGGGGGTCTCTTCCAAGCCCAGCCATGCACGAGGGTGACTCCTCTTTCAYTCTAAAGGATGGATTTGGGAATGAAACGCTGGCAAAGGAAAAACACTCGGCTTTCCCCAGCCTCCCTGTGCTCATGGACTCAGCTCCCTYGGGAATCACCTGCTTTTAGTTCATRTTCCCWTGGGAGGGAGGCAGTTATCATGGAATCATGGAATAGWTTGGGTTGGAAGGGACCTTTAAAGACCATCCAGGGACACCTTCCACTATCCCAGRWTGCTCCAAACCCCGTCCAGCCTGGCCTTGGACACTTCCAGGGATGGCACAGCCACAATTTCCCTGGGCAGCCTGTGCCAGGGCCTCCCCACCCTCACTGGGAAGGATTTCTTCCCAATATCCCATCTATCCCTGCCCTGTCAGTTTGAAGCCATTCCCTCTTGTCCAGTCACTGCAGAGATGCTGAAGTTTAAGGCAGGAATGAAAAAAAACCCTCCTGCTCTATGCTGGAGCATGGTAATGTTGTTCCTGTGCTCAAAATTTGATTTCACAGTTCAGCTGAGGAACAACCAATGTAAAACCTGAGTGGGAACTGGAGCTGGCCAAAAGATACAAACCCAAGAGTTGTTGTTCTCAAAAAAAAAAAAAAAAAAGGCCCATTTTGGCAAACAAAGCTGTACTGTCAGGGATCTGTTGGCACTTCTGGAATCTCCTTAACAACATATTTGTAACACTTGTCTGTATGCTCTGTTTATCAGATCCCGGGTTTGCAGTAAACATAAGCTAAGAACAAGGTTTTTTTTCAGAATATTCTCTTGGATGATTCCCAGTTAAAAGAAAACGCTTGTTGTTGTGTTGGCCTTTTTTTTTTTTTTTTTTTTTTCCCTTTTGGAAGGATCAGACTTTCCAGTGACCTCATCCTGCCCTCAGAGAGTCAATGTAAATGTGCAAATGTCACCGTGAAATTTACCCAGAGAGGGAAAGGTAACCTGAATTTCTCCTCTGCTGGCTGGGGAGTTCTGCAAGGAGACGATGCCACTTCCTTGTCTGGAGCTGAGACCTTCCAGCACATCCCTCCCATGGTGCCTGGCGTCCCATAAAAAGAAATCACAGYCTATAAAGGTTCCCAAAGTCACCGAAAAGCAGGTTATTCCTAAATTAGCAGGACAAAAAGTCTTCCCTTGACTCATAAAATCCAAAGGCACTGGYTTTGGGTGGGTGCTCTCCGTCCTTCCTCATTGCTCCTGGATTAACCCACTCATGAGCTGTCAGTGATGATGTTCTTGGGGAAAAAATTTTAGGGTGTGATGRGGTGGTGAGCCTTGAGTGCTGCTCAGGAAAGGGAAAACCACGCGTCCCCATGTCACATGCCGGATATGTCACCAGACCCTGCCACTTGTCGCTGCTGGCGGAGCTTTTGTCACTTGTGAGCAATAAACACTCGTGTTTTGGCTCCCCACACGTGCTCATGGGATCCTTTACTGCCTGGTCTTTAGACTTTCATAGGGCAATGACATCAGATCATGTGCTGGGGACAGAGGTGCAAACAGCAGGACGTTCTCAGCAGGGAGTACAAAATGTTCACTTCATGTGCTTTGCTCCATAAAATCCCACAAGGGGTTGGGTTGGAAAGGATCTTAAATCCCATCTCCACAACTCTGTGTTTTCTCCCTCTGCACTTGGCCACATCTGCCTGCTCGGGCTGGACTTTGGACAGGGCAGGATGCTAAAAAAGGGGGAAGAGAAGCTTCCAGAAATGCAGTTTAATAAAAGCCAAGTGGAGCAGCACAGACCCTGCTTTAACCTTTTAAATTCTTTCTCCGTTCCATTATTAGTGCAAATAGCAAGGCCCTGTGAACACCACAGGGGAGCTGAGCTCCAGACCTCAGCTYGCTCTCCAGGGAAATAAATCCAGCTCTGCTGCTTTACTCAGGGAGGGCTGAATGAACATCCCTGCCCCAAGGAGAGGGAAAACCCCCTGAAATTGGGATTTTTCTCCATCTCCCCTTCCTGCTGGTCCTGCTTGAGTTCCTCCATCCCTGAACCTCTCTCCAAAGGGCATCACTATTTTTATCCCATCCATGGGGAAACCTGTACCTCCCACTGTCCTTAAGTCCTGCTTTATTCCCCGCATTTCCAGGATGGTTTATCCTGGAAAAACAGGAACTGGGGGTGCCTGAGATAAAAGAAAAGCATCTGTTCTGGCCCATGGGGACAGAGTCAATGAACTCTGAAGGGCTGGGTGGTCACAGGTCAGCTGGTCAGCGCCACTGACCCTGCTCCTCCAGGATTGGTTCAGTCACCCAAAAATTGCCATTCACCTTCTCCCTTCTTTCAGGTAATGAGATCCTTGGCTGGTACAGGTTCAAATTCTCCATTATTCAATGAGGTAACAAAAAAAAAGTTGTTGTGGGTCTTTTATTTGATTAAATAAGATTTTACATTCCCCTTTGTGTAAAAGCTGATGAAGAGCATCTGGACATGTGAGAATTGGTCCCAGGACAACCCTGGTCAAAGACAACTTTTAAAATTATTATTTGCACCTTATCCATGTCCCATGGCCTAGTTTTGGCCAGCCCAAGGCATAGCCTAAGTAAGAATCAAATGGRGAAGGGGAATAAAGATTTGAAGGAAAATATAGATGACACCAGGACAAAAGCATCTTTTTAAAAGTTTGAGTTCAGGTGAGGAACAATCCCAAGGAAGAGATTGGGAAGTGGGTTGGTTAAGCCCTGTGATATCATCGGTAAGGGATGTGCTGGAGGGACCAGGGATGGAGGGAACAGGGATGGAGACCTTCAGTCCCCACAGGAACACAAACTTGTTCAAACCTGGGAAAAGTGACAGGAATAATTCAAGCTTGGAAACAGCAAATGGTCGTGTCTCACTGCTGCCTAAAATCCATGCAACCCACTCCCCTGGGAACACTGATCCTTGTATTGAGAAGATCAGGAAACAGTGATAACTGGTTTTGATAACAGTGGGTGGGATTTGGGGAATGCTGCTCCTCCAAGGGATCTGAGGGTCGCAGAGAGGAGGAGAATCCCATCACTGGGACATGATTTTGGGGCAAAAGGGGAAAAGGCATCTCTCTAACAACCCTTCTCCCTCCTTGCCCCAGTGCCACTGAGCTGCACCTCCACCTCACCCCTACGCTGCCATGGCCACTCTAGAGACGCTGCCCGTCCGCAGTGACCCGGCCTACGCCAGCCCGGACAAATTCCACGGCTTCGCCCCCCGGCATTCCCAGACCATCCCCAAGAGCGCCATGGGCAGCGTGGGCAGCGGCGTGGCCAACGAGCAGGAGTTCGCCATGAAGAGCGTGGGCACCCGGACGCAGAGCAGCGGCCGGCAGACGGACGGGCCCCGCAACGGCTACTCGGCGCGGGACATCTCCAACCGCTACTCCGGCGAGGAGAAGACCTACAAGTCGGAGAAAGTCTCCAACTCGCTCTACATCAACGGCGACCTGCGCAAGAGCGAGAAGGTGAAGATGGAYATCTGCGGCAACGTGACCACCAACAACGAGAAGAACCTGCCGCCGCCTCCCCAGTACCGAGAGCCCGGTAACCCACCAAAGATTTTGCCGATCTCCGGCAAACTAGACCAGGTGAGGAMCTCCTGGGGCACGTCTCTGGAAGCACGGACCAGGAGGTCTTGGGCAACTAATTGTTACTTTGTACATTTTAATGTAGAGATGATTTAATTCTTACTTTCAGTGGGGTTGTTAGTTCTCGAGGAACCCAAGGGCATGACCACAATACAGCTCATTTAAGCTGTATTTAAATCACTAGCTATTCCAACTTCCCCAGGATGCTGTGCCTACCCTCCTGATGGATGGGGAAGGAACTGGACATGGCTCCTGTTTCACGTCCAGCATTTGAGTCCCACTCTCATGTTTTGTGCCTTTTACGGGCATTTTCCAACCACTCACTGCCACATAAAGCTGTTGGCTGAGAGCAGCCACGAACATCTCTTTGGAATTCCAAGGTGACAGGGSTTGGAAATTACCSCTCTAAACCCCTCCCAACCCMTCCCATCCCAGTCCTCGTGGCTTCAGGGAGCAAAACCTCCCAGGCCTGGAGGAGCAGAGCCCCAGAGCCAGCCCTGTTTTATGTAGCCTGCTGCTCTGCTCCAGTGACTTCCATAATTTGTGCCCAGCATTATTTCTGCAGCATTTGGTGGCCTTTTCTCCTGGGTTGTTAAATCCAGCAGCCCCTGCAGTCCATCTCAGTCTCACAGTCTCCAGCCTGTTCACTGGGGCTTGCTCTGTTTCTCCCGAAAGCCATTTTCAAAACATTGTTGCTTCCTCCGGTTCAATTTTCACCTAAAATCCAACCTGCAGTAGGGGAGACTCAATCCCATTCTGGGGAAAATTTTGGTTCTAATGATTCATTGATTGGGTGAGGAATATGCAAGGTTTCAAAATCCTTTCTAAATCCCTTGCAGCTGTGATCCATTGTCCCCCAGCATCGCTTATGCCCACATGAAACACAAATTTCAAATGAAGAGCAGCTCCAGTTCATTGCCTGGGGTCACTGYTGGGGTCACAGCTCCCACCTGCTCCTGTCTGAGGATCAGCAGGACACGAGGTCACTGCTGGTAGCAGGGAGGGTGATGCTCCTGGGGCACCCTAATGCAAGGCTTCAAATAAGATTTCAACAAAAGGGCAGTGCAACCTCAGTGCTAGAGATATAATCAGCCCAAATTAGAGTTATTTTGGTTAGATCTGGTAAGCAAGGGGCAGCCTTGCTCGTAAAGAGAAGCTAGAAGTACTCTGGGTAAAAATCACACAGATTTGGGGCAAGGGAAAACAAAGTGCTGCCCTGTGAGTGACCACAGGTCAACCCAAAACAGTCCAGGGTGTAACAGGGTGGGATAAAGAGCCAGCCCAAGCTGCACCAGCCCCACCCCATGCCGCTGTGTCTCTTTTGTATGTCATTACCGAGCCTCTTGCCATGTTTGACGCCTGCTCCTTTTTCCTTTTTGCAGAGCAATGAGCCCTTAGTTAGACCCTCAGCCTTTAAACCAGTAGTTCCTAAAAACTTCCATTCCATGCAGAACCTCTGCCCGCCGCAGAGCAACGGGATGGCAGAGAACAGGAAGAGCTTGAACCACGCCAACAGCAATAGCCCGTCCGCACCCAAGGGGGGACTCGACAAGAGCAGCCTTAACAGGACTACGAACCAAGGGGGCGGGGGGCTCTCAGATTCGGGCAGGAACTCGCTAACCAGCCTGCCCACCTACGGGACGGGCTACAGCCAGCACGTGGGCCCCATGAGCGCCTCCACCAGCCACATCAACCGCATCGGGACCACCTACGTGGAGAAGAACATCGTGGGATACAACGGGATATCTACCTCAGACAGCGGGCGGTCCTCGAGCAAGAGCACCTCATCCTTCAACAGACTGAACCATCTCAACGAAACGATGCCTTTCCACTCGCCCTCGACCGACGAYATCATCCAGGACCTGGAGGACAGGCTGTGGGAGAAGGAGCAGGAGGTGCTGCAGATGAGGAGGAACCTGGACAAGAGTGAGGCTGCTATCTTCCAGGTGTTCGAGGAGAAGCAGAAGATCTGGGAGAGGGAGATGGAGGACCTGAGGCAGAACTACGCCAACAAGCTGCAGCAGGTCTCCAAAAAGGCRCAGCGGGCTCAGCAGGCTCTGCAGCTCCAGATTTTCAAGCTCCAGCAGGAGAAAAAAAAACTCCAGGATGACATGGGACAACTCCTCCAGCAGCGAGAGGAGCTGGAGAAGAAATTCGTGGCTTTCAAAAAGGAGCAGGCTGAGTTTCTCCCRAAGATCGAGGAGACCAAGTGGGAGGTAAGAGCGTTGTTGTGACGGACCTTGAGTGAGGTTTTCATYGCGGGGTTTGGTGACCCAAAGTACCTCCCACATGCCCTAAGTGGAGCCCACAGATAAYACAGCCATGGGTTGGTGGCCTCCAGGCAAGAGGTGACACTTGCCACCTCACTCGTCTGAGTCCCAGCCTTGATTTCAATCAAGCTAAAATAAGCACAGCTTTTTGTGCACATTCCTCCTGTGCTGGTTAATAATTTGACTCCACAGCCTGGTCACTCCAGGCTGTGACATTCAAATCCAGTTTCAGGGAACACAGGTYKTTCCACACAGGTAYTYGTGCCTGCCAAAAATGAGTTTAAGKCTATTTTAATTACATTCTTCTACCGTTTGCATTCAGGCAAACCTTGAAACCGCTTTTCAGATATTTGATTTTTTTAAACTTGAAGATATAAAAGCAACTGAGCTAAGAATGGTATCGACAGCCATGTCTGCTTCATGCTTTTCCACTGTAACACGCTGTTTTCAGTTGTTAATGTCTCTTAAAAAGCTGAAAGGCAAATTCTTCTTTCTCGTTCTCCTGTACAGTCCTACATAATTTTTTCCTACTGTTTCTATTTTTAGAACGTTTAATCAAAGTCTGTTTGTATAGCCAGTGCTAACATACCTTTTTTTTTTTTCAGCTTGATCATGTGAAGAATTTTAATCCTTCCGTGCATGGGCTAGAAACTTTAAATTTATTAAGAGTGCAGAGGCAAAATGTAGCTCTAGAATCAAGAAGACCTTATTCTGCTAATCCTGATGGAAAGTCAATAAAGCTGGGATTAATTAGGCTCTGAAATGTGCCATTTGCAGATGTTCAGCAGAGCTTATTAGAGGCTGTTGTAAAACCTCTGCAAGATACATCCCAGAAGGAGCAGACTGCATTATTCTCCTTTGACCAGCGGTTCTGCCCAGGTCTTTTAAGGGACCTTAAAGTCCATTCAGTTCCACCTCCCTGCCACAGGCAGGGGCACCTTCCACTAGACCAGGTTGCTCCAAGTCCCATCCAAGGTGGCTTTGAGCACTTCATGGGTTCTTTAGGAGATTTTGGGAAGGAAGGCATCATAGGATGAGTAAGTAACATCTACTGTCTCTGCCTCCTGTCCAGTGCTCAGGGAGAACCCAGGTGGTCTCTGGGTCTAAGATGTTTCTGTCTTAGACTTGTTCAAGATCCAGATGCCACTGAGGTCAGTGGGAAAATCCTACTGGGAGCAGAAGGTTTGGGGTCGAGGTTGGGTGAGTGAGATGAATGCAGTGGGGAAGTATCACTGGTGGGGATTGCAGCACTGGGCTTGGCTGTTTGGGCAACTCCAGCTGGGAACAGCATCAGGTCTTTGAGAGCCAGGGAAAAACACAGAGGTGGGGACAGCCTCTARGTYTGTCCTGGTGAAGGCTGAGTCCTTRAGCARGGTTTTTCACRGRCAGCACGGGGGACAAGCAGCTCCTCACTCTCATGGGTGTTSTCCCCACAGGTGTGCCAGAARGCWGGCGAGATCTCCCTGCTCAAGCAGCAGCTGAAGGACTCCCAAGCCGACGTCTCCCAAAAGCTCAACGAGATCGTGGGACTGCGGTCGCAGCTCAAGGAAGGTAAGAACTTCCTGCGGGAGAAAGAGGAGCAGATCCTCACCCTGAAGGACTCCTACAGCTCCAAAAGCGTCAACCTGGAGATCTGCGAGAGCGAGCTGCAGCGCAAGATGAGCGAGGTCCAGGTGCTGCGGGAAAAACTGAACCACTGTGAGCTGGAGGTCTCCGGATTGAAGCGGACACTTGCCAGCATGGGACCTGGGGGKCCTTTTGGAGGGGACCTCGGGGAAAAGCTGCGGGACCCGCTGGCCTGCGAGAGCGACGAGGCCAAGATGCAGCGGCAGAGCGAGGACAGCGTGAACACCCTGCGCAAGGAGGTGGAGCGGCTGCAGACGGAGCTGAAGCTGGAGCGGCAGCAGCGGGAGCAGCAGGTGATGGACTTYGAGGAGGAGCGGCGCACGTGGCAGGAGGAGAAGGAGAAGGTCATCAAGTACCAGAAGCAGCTGCAGCTGAACTACGTGGAGATGTACCAGAAGAACCAGCTCCTGGAGCACAAGGTCAACGAGATGAACACCAAGGCAACCAGCCCACCACACACCGAGGAGAAGAAGACATGGACTCCCTCCAGACTCGAGCGAATAGAGTCCACTGAGATCTGAGGAGGGACCGAGGCGACATGACAGAATTTTTTATTGCTGTGCATGTACTACGTACTCAAGCCAGTGATCTTCCGAAGGATAACGCGCTCCCATCGGAGCGGTGCGAGTGTGCTCCCACCAGGCTCCATCACCCTTCCTCTCCACTTCTGTGCTCTGTAGGTAAAATAACTGTGGATGTGCGTTGGTTTTCTACTGATAATACGATATCTCGTCTGGGTTTTTTCCTAGTACAGCTGGTGAGGGTCAATCGGCTTTTTTTGTAATCTGCCTGGACTGTTATTTTGCTAGAGGCTGCCACCCCCTCTCCTACAATTCACCCTTCTTTGGTTGGTTGTTTTTGAGGGTTGTATTCGGTTTCTTCSGTTTTCCAAGCATTTACGTGCAGCAAAACAGTTCAAAGCGGCAGGTTTGTTGTTTTTTGGGGTTGGTTTTTTTGGTTTTTTTTTTCCAGGACGTTTTTAGCCACATTGGCTAACAGAGCAAAGCTCTCGGGATCATGAGCAAACTCAAATGTTCTGCATCGAGTATCCTGTCTAGACGGTGGTCTTAGTGAAGTCAGTGTGAGCTTGGCCACTGATTTCAGTGAAACCAGACATATCTCTACCAGATGACTCCCTCTTTGCCCTGGCTGCAAGAGGTTAGGACATCCTCGAGGAGCAGGATGAGCCTGTCCTGGTAACAGAAGCCAACAAGGAATGATGTCCCAGCAGGAGCCTCTCTGGAGGCTCAGCAGAGCTTAACACATGCTGCGTTTTCATTTCCTTGTGGTTTCCTCCTGCGGTTCCACTCCTCTCCCAGGTTGTGACCAATCCCGGGAGCAGAAATACCCTCCCACCTCTGCCTTGGTCCCCTTACTCTAACTCTATATCCAAGCAAGAAAAAAGCTTGGAAATCCGAGCTACTTTCCCACCCCAAGAGCCCCCTTACTTCCCAAAGTCAATGGAATCGAGGTTTGGGGAAGCCTCCAAACCCGTGGGATCTTTATGCAAACYGAAGCTTTAGCAATCTGCCCCCAAAGTGGGCAATTGTGCCACCCTGTCCCCAAAGGAGTGACGTCTCGATGCACTCTCTCGGTCCGGGGTTTGCTTAAAAAYGGCACTCAAGCCTCACTCAGGAGTCACAGAGGGGGCACAGCAGCATCACAGCTGGATTGCAGTGGTCATCCTTGAGTGGTCATCCTGCACAGCCATCCCAAACAGCGCCCACGGCCATCCCACGGGGCGCCCCACACTCCAGGAATGGACATCAACGCACGCCTAGCTTAAGAAAATACTCAGCTACCAACTCSGAGCGTGAAAAGAGTCGTAAGAGGGGAAAATGCTTAAGATCACGCAAGTGCTTATGYCCTGGCAGAACAATAAACCAAATCCTATGTGTGCAGTCACTGAGGCAGCAAAAACTGGTGTTCTGCTTGAAAATGTGGGCAAAGTGAGCTTGGTTCTCCCTGGACATTTTTAACCAYGATTCACAATAAAGAGAAGGAAAATGTTGCAAAGTGGAGTTTGCACTTGCTGGGGGGTGGCAAAAGGATTGGCAGAAGTGGGGATTTTGGCTCTTTGCCCTGGGAGCAGCTGGAAGAGAAAATCAGAATTAGGATTGGGACGTCTTGAAATATCCATGAGGTGACTCCAGAAAGTTTGGCCAGATCACATTTCATGAGCACACCAAGGAAGAGCCTCGAGGCATTGAGGGGCTGAAGACCTTCCAAACAAAAGCCCTGAACCTGCACATCTTCCATGTTCTGTCTCCCCAAAGCTCCCCTGCTCACAACCAGGTCTGACCTTCAATTTGGGAACAAACATTGTTGTGGTGAGCTCCAGACTGAGCAAAGAGTGGAAACTGCCATTTGTCCCACCAACCCAGGTCACCAGGCAGCCCAGGTCACTGGCCAAGAGCTGGTGGTGGCTGCCAGAGATCCCTGGAGCTGCAGAAAATGGACATGTGCAACAAGATCAGGGCGTTTCAAGACCCCAGCTGATGGTTCCTGTCTTTTCCCACYGCTTCTGCTCATGTCTGTGGAGCTGGAGGAAGACATAACTCATGGAGAAAACCAGGGCAGCTCAGGCTAAGCCTCTCTCCCAGGACCAGCCATGAAAGGGGGATTAGGTCAGGTCTGACTCCTGCAAATCCTGAAGATGCTCCAGCACTCTTGGACATCCACCCATGCACCCCACCAAGGAAGGAGTCACCCAGCAGCAGATCCTGCCGTTCCCACAGAGACATCCAYGTGGATTTGGCCAGGCAAATCCTAGAGCTTCCTCCATTTCATACTCCGGGCCTTCAAGTCAGAGTCGAACATCCCACAGTGTCAGGGCTGGACATCTGGTGTCTTGCACCATCTCAGCTCTCTTTTCACATCAGACAAACCCAGGTTGTCCTCTTTCCCAAAGCTGGTGTGCCATGTTGAAGATTTTTCACCTTGGAGAAGGAAAGGCCCACTCTCTTCACCTTCTTCACTGCATCACTTCGATCCAGAGTTTCAATCCAGATCTGAGAGACCTCGACTGTGGACATTCCCTGGATGACAGAGCCTTGCAGACACCCATTAAGACACTGTGTTGCTGCTGCTGGTTTTCCCTCTCTCGGGATCTTCCCAGGATTCCCCAAGCACTGGGCTGTCCCGCAGAAACCACCCCGCCTGTGCTACGGTGACAGAAAACACAGATGGTTTTGGGAGCCAAACTGCCACAAAGGATTCCTGTGCTTCAGGATTCCTCCCCACAACTGGATGGTCTGCTGCCCATCAAATCCTCTGCCCTGTGCCAGCCCTTTGCTCAGCAGAGAGGGAGCAAAATGATGGTGGGACACCTGGATTCCTRTTGCTGTGCCCAGCTGGGAGCTCACCTGGCTCCTTCCAGGTCTAAACATTTCCACAGGATCATATGATTAAATCTCCCATCAAAAGCTTCCTTCAGGCTCTGGGACCTTAGCCCTGGATTAGGACAGCCAAGGGGAGCCAGGCTGGTGTTTGAGTGACATTTCCTGGGAATGGCCAAGGAGGCTGGCAGCATGTCTCTTGGAGGCTCAAGCAGGGCTGATGAATTGTCTCTGTCCCTTGAACTCCACACAGAGTTTGGGCTTGACCCAGCTGTCTCCTCCACCTTGGAGCTAATGGAATTCAGCRTTACATCCTGGCTCACATGTCATTCTCCCCTGCCCCCAAAATCCTCTCTAACTTGCCCCTGGCCACCACCACAAGCCGTGGCCACGAGAGTCTCAGGTCAGTAGCCCACACAGGGGGTCCATAGACACTGGAGATGCTCTGGGATACCCAACACAAGGGGCTGGGCAATACGACCCAAGATCTTTGGGAGAACCAGGCCAGTGGTGGGAAGTCCTGGAGCAGCTCTGGTGTGACACCAGCCCCACGTGCAGAGCTCAGTCATGCTCCAGGCTCACCCACACAGCAAACAGAGAACCCTGATCAGCTCCAGCTGCTTCCATCCATGAGGATGTGGGCTAAGCAGCCTATTCTGGTGCCAGGGAAGGTCTCACCCCTCGCTGTGAGGAGAGTTTTGCTCCACCACCATTTCAAGGCTGGCTGCTGCCACTGTCCCAAACACCTAGATGGGCTAATTCCAGCACTCCCCTCTCACCCCAGGGTGAACACCACAACCAGGGACTCTGCTGTGCCTCACACAGTCCCACTGAGCTCCTGCCCCTGCCTGGTGGCAGCTGGTGGCCTCAATCCTGCTGTCACTGGTGGTGGTCACTCCCCTCCGGGTTTCCACGCTCCAGAGAGGAATGAAATTGTTGTTCTTACRCTGTTGTACAGAGAGAAGTGTACTTGGATGTAAATAAGAGCCCAGCTCTGTGTGTTGATGATTAAATGGAGACAAGAAGGCTCTGTGGCTTCTCTGTTGGCGAGCGGGGCCGAGTGCTGAGCACTGCACAGAGGGTGCTCAGCACCCCAACCTGTGCCTGGCTGCAGTGGGAATCAGGGCTTCAGCACCTCCCAGGAAAGCAATCCACATGGGATTAGCTCAGCCTGGTGTCACTCTGTCCTGCTTTGATGCTTGCTGTCACCCTGAGCCAGGTTTGCAAATGCTCCCTGGTTRAGRCCAAAATCCCCTCTGCCYGTGTCACACCAGGGCTCTGTGCAGRCAGAGGCTCCCAGGGGTGTCYYCMCTGAGCTCTGCYCATGGAAAGGACCATYCTGCTCCCCTCCTGCCCCTTGCAGTGGCACTTTATAGCTCACTCAAGGCAGCGAGCTCACGAGAAACATGACCAAAGATCTCTGGAGAGTGCTGGGCCRCAGGCTTGGAGTTGTGTCCCGGCTTTCCCAGGGAGAGATGAGGCTGGTGTGGGCTGGAAAAGGGGAAGGAGAGCTGGCAGGGGACATGATTTCCTCGTGTCCCACCTGGGAATGTTTGCAGGTCCGTAAGGGCCCTTCCTGTGCAAGATAGGACAGGACAGAAAGGAGTTCCCGGGTAAGGTGATGGTCCCCAGATGGTTACACCAGAATCCTCCACAGCTGATGGATGTGGCTGTCCATGCATTTCTGGGGAGAATGTGGACATGGGGCTGTCCCTAGGATTGGAATGGATGCCATTCTCTTTCTTCTTGAGGAGAAGAGAGGATGCACGCCAAGCCATGCATCCTCTTGTCTTCAGGCAATTTCATGCCTCTCGTCTCCAGAGCAATAGGTGTCCTCTAGTTTAGCAGCAGGCACTGCCACAGGGTTCAGTCAATTGTTCCAGCTCAGTGGGAAMTGCCCAGGACATTGCCCATCCTGAGAGCTGGTSCTCCTGCTGGCTGTCCCCTTGGTGTCCTGTCCCCAGCTCACCCCAGGGCATCCTCAGCATCCTCCTYAYCAAGGAACCAAATTCCAAGGTGAAGGCAGCGTGTTCTTCCTTCTGTTTGGGGTACTGAAGGCATCTCTGCCCAGCTTTGTGCCRTGAAGGCTCCTGGACCTGGCAGGAGGCCAGCAGGAGATCTGTGCTCCTGCAGGTGGGTGTTSAGGTGGGTCTGGGCCTCGGGCAGATGCCTCTCACTGTGCCTCTGCTCCCCAGTTGTGCTCATCCTCCTTCTCCACACCACCCCCGGGATGGGAGAGAGCCCAACTCACCRTCAATTTAACCCAAACCTTCAGCCTAAGCCTTGAAATCCCTTGATGAGTTACTGYTCACCAGGACCCCTTGCTAAAGATCTGTTCATGTGTTGCCTGTGCCCTGCTGCTCCTCTGCCCCAGCTCTCCAGACTCTCCTTTTAGACCATCCCCATCCCACTGGAGCAGTCAGTGCCTCTCCCAGGTACATCTGGGCGAGCTGGAGCTACAGCYCCACTGAGAATGGGTGATCCCAACCCTGCTCTCAGGAGCTTTCCATCCAGAACGCTGATCCTCTCCTCTCTGACATTCCCAAGGCAGCTCCATCAGCCCTGCTTTACCTCCAAGGACAATCTGGCTTCTGAYTGAAGGACATTCCCATGGCCTGCGATCCCGTGGGATTCACAGCATCACCACCCAGCTCTGGGATGTTCTCCCACCCTCTGCAAAAACAGGGCTGTGAGTGGCCTACGAGGTCCACAGGGCACGCAGGACCCCTCAGTATACCGAGGGGTTGGGATCACATCCAGCTGTTGGCAGATGTTGGCTTCCCAACAGGATGTTCCACGCTGGCAGTGCAACTGCCGTCAGGACCAAGCTCCTGCGTTTTCAGGATAATCCTCCCCTCTGGTTCTCCCAATCAAGGGGATCGTGTCAGGTCTGGAGCCTGGGACCAGGCTGTGTTTTCACAGCTCTTTCACAGATCTGTTCTCTCCGGCAGGAAGTCCCTGCTCTCTGTCCCAAAGCAATAGGTTTTCCCAGGGAGATTTAAAAGGGACTCTTTCCCAACTCTGACAGCTGCAGGCAAGCCAACATTCCCGTGAATACCTTCACAGCCTCAGCCCTGGGCTCAACTCCTTTGGAAAGGGATGTGAGGTCCAGCCTGGCTCCCAATAACCACAGTGGTCCGAGCTTGGTGGCCCYGTTTATCCAGAGAGGCCAAAGCTTCCCACATCCAGCTGGCCACCAGCCCTGATGCCCGGGAGGTGCGACCCATCCCCTCGTGGTGCCCATCCCACGGCTGTCACTGGGTCCCTGCAGCGGGTCTTCTCCATGTGGGAGCCACTGTGGCATCYGAGCTCACGGAGTAACATTTGGTGACAACCAGTGGGACACCGTGGCTCTGCCATTCYTGAGAGCCAGGCTCGGAGGAGAAGCCCCCTTTCCCCCTTTCCTGTGACTGAAAGGAGCAGAACACGTGCGGGCAGAGCTCCAGCCCCGGCACAGGAGCATCCCRGCACCACCCAATGCTGCACACCCGGCCGATGTGTCTATGCAGTCCCTTCCCAGGCAGAGCCCAGCCCGGGGCCGGGGCTCCTCCGAGGTGTCTTCGTTTGCACTCTCTGGGACCTGGTAATCGCTGTGAGCCCAGAGGAGCCCCCCGGCCTTCGCCCCGCTCCGGGCACCGCGCTGGGGAGGCTTCTCCTCACCCCAAACCGATGCACGTCGCCGAGTCGTCCGTTCTCCAGC